TCTCCAAGGTCCAGGGCAATACTGGAAATCTGGTCCGGTTTAAGGATTCAAGTAATCCCATACTGCATGTGCCTTGGGTCTTACCCTGGTGGCTGAGACAGGCCATCCCAACACTTGGTGGCACACCAGTATCAGCCTTGGCAGGATAAATCTCCCCAGACTTATCCAATGGCTGTGAACATTTAAAACTAACACGATTCTCTATAAGTGTCCAGTTTTAGGGTCTAACACAGAATTAAACCAAACAACATGAATCAAACATGCACTTTATTTATTTCCACTTAATAACAAAAGTACATCAAATCGGATTGAAGCTAAGGGCATACAAAACTGTCTAACAGTTATCTTCTCTCAAAAAGAGATAGAGGTAATAGTCATTTTGGAGTTCACCAGCCACCGTATAATAGTAGAGTTTTAGGTGGTTAAAGAGGTCTTATCACAACTTTTCTAGCATTAGTTGAAGTCTTATATAGTGCTGTCTGAGTCTGGATTGTTTTTATTTTAATATAGAGTCCTAGTTTATTTGGGAGTAGGTTCCTAAATTATGCTTGAAGTTGGCTAATTCTTTAGTTACTTCATTTCTCATGCAAGTAGGAGTCTAAGGTGGAGTTAACTTGTGATGCAAGTATATCTTTGGTTAGGATTATTGCTATATCTTATTACAGTCACTGCAAGTAGGATAAACAGTTAAGCCTATAAATAGAGGTCTTTGGCAGATCTTAGGTTGTTTGTTTTAAGAAGGAAATTTCCAACTCTTGCTTGGTAAAACAGGCTTTAACCTAATTAGATGTCTGAATCCATTAGAACAAGGGGCTAATTTCTTTGTGACATTTTCTTTTTCATTTTTTAACAAGTAGAATCGTATATTTCTAGATTTGATGATTAACCTGTGCAAGTGCATCCTCAGTATTGACATATACAGATTGTGGAATAAACTATATTTTATTTTCTTTTCTAGGTTGGGGATGACTGTCGACAAGATGTGCTTGCTCTTCAAGTGATTTCGCTACTCAGAGATATTTTTGAAGCAGTTGGACTTAATCTCTACTTGTTTCCCTATGGCGTTCTTCCAACTGGTCCAGAGAGGGGCATAATCGAGGTAAACTTGTTTCCCCCACTTTATTGATGTGTGTGTCTGGTGGAGGAAGAGAGTGATGAAGATAGTGAATAGAAGAAACATAATGAAAATTGTAATTCTTATCTTACACTGCATGCCTGCTTATGTGTTGCTATGTCTCAGTCAGTTTCAATTTTTCTCTTTTTGATGCATTGACTAAATCATCGAGCAGAATGTATGTTTGTATATAACACCTTAGCTGCTGTAACAGCAGAAAGACTTCTTGATCATGGAGTTCCACCCTCACAGCTTTTATATATGCACTACATGATTGTTGTGGAGGAATAGACTAGTTTTAGTGAAGTCCCTGCCATTATCAGTTGTTTTTTTCCTTTTATTTAATTGTTATTATTTTGGGCCTATTATTATTTCTTTTTATTAGTTTTCTGAGCCATTGATTTAAAAGGCCTAGGCGCACAGGCAGGCGCATTTTGGGGTATGCGCCTCGCCCAGGTCCTAGGCGGACCCCTTTCAAAAGGCATGTGCCTGGTGCGCCTAGGCGTGCACCTGATGCGCCTTGTGCCGCAGCCCAGGCGTGTGCCTTTTTAAAATTTTGCGCTTTTTTTTTTGAGTCTAACGGCTGGGCCGGGGGCGGAGCCCCCGGACCCTATTTGCTAATGTTGTTCATTCATTCATTGCAATAAAATATCTTCTTAAAAGGCAGTGAAAGTTATAAAATCATTGTTTTTTATGTGAGAAATAAGAATTTCAGACCCTAACATAGACTTGTTCAGGTTTGCCTCGGGGGGTGTGGTACAAAGGTGACTCATAAAATCAAGAATGCAATATGTTTTACATCACATTAACTACTTGAAGCAATGCAATTAAGGAAAAAAAGAGATTGTGGGTTTTACATGCTTGAAAATGCTTTATATGTTTGCTTTTATTTTTATATTTTCATTTGGATACACTTTACATGTTATGTTTATGTATTTTAATTTTAGATAATAGGTTTTTTAAATCATTTATTTTAAAATTTAAGTTTATATTTTTTATTAACATTATGTTTAATATTTTTTGAATTTAAAAAAAAATTGGCATTTTTTTGAATTTTCCTACTTTTTTTTTATTTTTTAGCTTTTTTTCTTTTTGTAATTTTGCGCCTTTGTTAAAAAGGTGTGCGCCTCACCTTGCACCTCAGGCGCAAATTGGCCCTTGCACTTTTAAAACACTGTTCTGGGCCTATTGTTATTTCTGACATTATTGACTAAGGAGTGAGTTGGGCGGCAGGGGCATAGGTGTCTTTATGTTTTTGGTTTTAATAAGAGTATATAAATAAAAGTTCTGGGCGGCAGAAGATCATTCTATTCTGTGCCCTTTCTTCTTCTCTTCTCTTCTTCTTCTGTTATTTCTTTGTTTTTCTGCTGAAGTTTTATCAGGTTTCTGATCAACTGAGATCAGCATACACCATCTATTGTCAAGAGTTACAGATGCCTCTCCTTCCTTTTCTACTCCCAACAAATCTCTTGTAATAGTGGATGATCATCAAAATTCATATTTTAGCACTGTCTAATTCTTATTCTATGTGTGGAACCATAAGACACCCTAACTTGGGTAATCTATCACCAGAAACCTGTTGGCCTACCAATTTTTTACCTATAAACTTGACATGGTAAATCAACTTATTTTGATTAAGGATACCATAGCCAAACAAAGAGTAAACAGGATACAACTATTGTTCTGTTTGGCATGGATGCATGTCATACACGTTCTGTATCACCAACTTGCTACATCAGAAAAAATGGAAACACTATTTAGTCACATTTGAGAACCCAGTTTTTGGAAAAACATTACTCCAATCAATGTTTTAAAAACCAACCCGGAGGCCGAACCGTTTTTGCCTCTGGGTCACGGGTCACCGGTTCAACTGGCCGGGTCGAATGGTTCAGACATATATATATATATATGTGTGTGTGTGTGTGTGTGTGTGTGTGTGTGTGTGTGTGTGTGTGTGTATGTGTGTGTATAAATGTATATTTTATCAACAAATAATATATAAATATGTTTTAGATATGTTATGTGTATTTTTATATTTAATTTATATTTTTTAGCTCAGTTTTTTATTTTTTATTTATAAAAATATTAAAAATGTAATTTGAGGCCAAAAAAGGGTTTTTTTTTGCGAAAATAGTGGGGCAAGGCGCCTATGGCACCTTGGGATGCATAGATCTTGAAAAGTTTCCCAAAATAAAAAAAAAAATCACCCCAATTGGACATCGGAGTGCAAAGTTATGGCCCTCGAAAGTTTGCATACATTGAATGTGCAACCCGCGACCCAGTGACCGGTCGAACAAGTCAACGGTTGAACTGGCTGGGTCGAACGGTTCTTGACAAAGTCAACGGTTTTTTACCATCTGACAGGTCTTGGCTGAACTGGACCTAGAATCTTGGCCGGGTGATGGTTCGAACAGTTCGACTGGCCAAGTCAATGGCGGGTTGAAAACACTAACTGCAATATTTATGCCTAGGATTTCAGGAGAGGGAGTTTCTTGAATCACCAATATGATGTGACACATTGAAATTTGAAAAAGCTGACGGCTTTTCTGAGGTTAGACCTATTCATGGGCCGGGTGGCCCGACCCCCGGATGGGCTTGAACATGCTTATAGGCCCGTGGGCTTAAAGTTGGGCCAAAAAGCCCGGCCCGCAATAAATTCGAGCCGGGCTCGGGTTTTGTCAAATAGCCCGGCCCGGCCCGACCTAATATTAAACTTAAAATTAGTTATGTGATTATGCCCATTTGAATAAATTTTTTGATTTAAGAATGTAAAGTTGTGTTTTAAAATATAAAAAAAAGGGAAAAATACCATCTTGTAGGCCCATTGTTCATTTAAATAGAAAAAAAATACTATCTGAATTTTTAATTCTAATTTGAATAGGGAAAATTGTTTTTTTTTTCAATTAGGTCGGGCTTCGGGCTCGGGCTCGGGTTTCGGGCTTTTTATCAGGGCCGGGCTCAGGCCCAAGTTATAGGCCCGTTGGTCGGGCCGGGCTCGGGCTCGGGCCTAGTATATTTTCATTAGTGACAAGTGAAAGTCCGGCCCGAGCCTGACCCGGCCCGGCCCATGAACAGGTCTATCTGAGGTGTCGTATCCTTGTTATAATGAAAATATTTTAAAAATAAAGCCAAAAAACTTTAAATGCCTAATCAGCATGCACCTCCACCGAAACAGAAGGGGCATCAACCTATAATCTGAATCCTGTATCATGTGCAACTCTGACAGATAAACATCCAACCATCTATTCCTACAATGCCCAGTGGTGAGGGGTGTCTACTCTCACTTATGCAGCTTGATCAACCTGTATGGGTGTATTCCAAAGAGGGTAACAGAGACCATTTGAGATCTTGGAAGGTAACAGGAATGAGTAGAAAAGGGAGGAGCCTATGGTGCATCATACCTGTTGCAGTAACATGGTGCATATGGAAAGAGAGAACTCAGAGAATATTTGAGGCTAAATTCTGTTCTGTGGAAGAACACTTTATAAAGATCATTGGTGTCATTCGTTCTTGGCTGGCTGCAATGGATCTCTTTAGATATGTTCCCCATCAGAACTATATTGACCCTGCTATTTTGTTCTTGTAGTAGTTAGCCGGCAAGATGCAAAATGTTTTCACTTATGTATAGTGGCTCACTGTACATTCTTATATCTCTAAATCCATATATCATTTGAAGGAATTAGTACAATAAATAGTTGACAAGGCACCCTTGGAGGCTCGCCTCGCCCAGTCACCAAGCAGTTTTGCATACTGTGTAATAAAATACTTTTATATTGTTATTTTTTTGAGATTATAATTATAAAATAGACATTATTAAAGAGAAATATTCATTTTTTGTGTTTATAAACTAATTTCTTTTTATTATTTTCTTATTTGCTAGGGTTTAATCAACACAAACATTGCTAACTGCTGTATTGAACCCTCAATGACTTCAAAATCTGAACCAATAAGTAAAGGAAGAACTTAAAATTTTGTCTAATCAACACATTTCTTCTTCTTCTTCCACCTTTTATTTTCTTCTTTTCCTATAACAAAAATAGGGGCTTCAGCCCCTATATTTTTTGAATTTTCTTTCTTGTCTTCTTTTTCTTCTCATAAATATGTTGATTTTCTAGACGTAAACATGAAGTTTATAATTTTCTTATGAAAATTATGGATAGTTATTAAAGAAAGTTGGTTATGAGACCTAGGGAACCGCCCTAGGATATGTGATTTTAACTTAAAAAAATCCATTGCCTAGGCGACAAGGCGCCCCCCTGTCGCCTAGCCTTGCCTTGGCGCCTTGAAAACTATGCTACAATACCTTCTGCTAAAAAAAAGCATATTCACCAAGTGGGTTTTTATGTGTTTTTCAAAAAAAAAGAATGATGCATAATCAGGGGGGTGGTGTTCCTGATTCTTGGTGAAATGGATCTCTTAATGGTTCCAAACAAGCTCTATATTGGGGGTGAACAAATGGGGAGGTTGGGAACTAGTTTGCTGTATATTACTAACAACTGAATTGGGATTAGATAGCTATGGCTACCAGGGACACTTGGGGTTATGAATCCCCTTGTGTACATATCACTTCTTTTCATAGTTAGTGAAGTACCATTTCCAATAAAAAAAAAAAGCATCAGCATTCAGATCTTCAATGATGATTTTTGACAAGAGAAAGTTACAATAGCTAGGTTTGATTCTTATTCTTGAATTGTTGAATTGTCAAAACCTATCGTCTTAGTGGTGCAGTTTTTCCATGCTTTTATTTACTTTGACCAAGCCATCAAGGATGAATGGTTTCAAGCAATGAAAGAAACCAATGAAAGATTCCTTATGCTTGAAGATCAAAATAAGAAATAAGACAGATATCATGATTTCTTCATTTTATGTTTTGTGGAACTTGTTTTGGAGTTCATTATCTTGTACATATACCTATTATTATGACATTTTCAATCTGCAGGTTGTCCCCAACTCACGGAGTAGAAGCCAAATGGGTGAAACCACAGATGGTGGATTGTATGAGATTTTTCAACAGGACTATGGACCTGTTGGTTCTCCCAATTTTGAGGCTGCACGTAATAACTTCATAGTTAGCAGTGCTGGTTATGCAGTTGCTAGCCTTTTACTTCAACCAAAGGATCGACACAATGGGAACCTTCTTTTTGATAAGTATGCTCCTTCACAATTTTTCCTTGATAAGGAATGTTGTTCAGAATCCTCAAGATCATATGGGGCATGCCATGTGGAATGAAATCATTTTGGTGAACAAGATTTTTTTAATCAGTAATTAATCAAAGCTTTATTGATGTTTAGGTTAAAGAATGATGTACAATCAGAAATCTGACAGGCACCCTGTATTTGGGCTAGTCCCTGCTACCCTCCCCTCTCTTTGCTTACACATTACATGCTTCTACCTTGGGAAACAACCCCCAAATACATTGATTTGGCACTCCTTGTATTGCCAGAGCATCAAGCATACTGTTAACTGATATCGGGGTCCAGTTGAAAGTTGATCCCAGTTCTATAGCCAATTGTTTTACCTCCATCATCGAGTGTCTGTATTTCCAAGAGCCTGTACTATTATATTTAAGTCAACCCACGATTACATGAGAGTCCCCTTCTTCCATTAAGTCTGCAATTCAGGCATTTGGCCAATCTTAACCCTTGTAGAAGTGCTATCGGTTCTGTCTGTGTTGACTCACCATAGTTGATAGGTCTAGAAAACAAAGCTAAAATATCACATGCAGAGATCATCTACTGCACCAGTAAGAAGTGATCTGTTACAAGTTAAAGGAGCTAGGAGAGCTAGGGGCAGACCAAAAAGGACATGGGTTGAAGAAGTGAGAAATGATTAGGCCCATAATTTAACGATGGATTCGGCAGTGAACAGAATGGAATGGACTGTGATGTAACCATCACAGTTTCTGAAAATTCCAACTATTCATGAATTTCCTGGGTTTGATAATAGCAATTTTAGTAGTTTGACTTGTGAAATGGATTGATGATGGAAATTTAGTAGAATCAGAATGAGTTCATTATACAATTTCAAGAAAGGAGTTCATTTCTTTTCCAATTTACCTCCCAGGGATGACTCCTGTTGTTATTAATAATGAATTAACACATTCAAATGGTTCCAAATTGAATTTATCAAAAAAAAAAGGTTCCAAATTGAAATGATTTCACTGTGGCTTCAAAACACCTTCTTAATGAATAAATTTAGAAAAGTCCTCCTGTATTTTTCTTCAAGATGGATTGCCATATTCATTCTTATCTTGTGGTTTGTGGTGCTTCTATCTGACAAGAATCATTTACCTAAGATACTTGTACTGGATCAATAACTGTGAACTGTAAACATAGGACACCCCTGAATAATTGTCGAACATTATTCATTTTAAAAGAGAAAGGTACATCTTTACTAGTTGTTATCATTACAAATATTGTACCTTTTATCTTTCTCGCTATGGATGTGTTCAAATCTACAGTCCACATAAATACATGCATATGTATATATGTATATACATGCATGTATGTAGAGTTACCAGGTAATTATTGGATATCAGATTCATAACCTTACAGAGAAGAGGATAAGAGATCTATCCAAATGAAGAAGCAAAGACTCCATAACCACAAGGTATCTGTTGTGAAGAAAGCCAAATCACAGCATACTGGCACCTACCATATAAACAATATAACAATGCATCTATGTTTCTGCATTTTACAAGTTACCAATAACATTACATGTAATATGACATTTCACGCAATATTATTATTGTGAAGTGTCCAAGGGCATTTTAGAAGCAATTGGAAATAAACATTGCACATATTTATCCAACAATCTATGTATGACATCTTTGGAGTCTGACCTGGCCAAAGTACATCAGGTGCTGGGCTGCCTTTATTGTAAGGTAATATATAATTCCAATTAATCCCTGCTCGTTTATATGCAGTGTGGGAAGGCTTGTGCATATTGATTTTGGTTTTATCTTGGAAACTTCGCCTGGTGGTAATATGCGTTTTGAAAGTGCCCAGTTTAAGCTCAGCCACGAGATGACTCAATTGCTTGACCCATCTGGGGTGATGAAAAGTGAAACCTGGGCCTACTTTGTGCGGTAAATTTGTGGATGTGTTTACAATTGCTTTACAATAACTGATCTTTTTTCAAATGAATTGCAATGGGATCTTGATAGTGTTCTTTTTTCAATTATATGCAGCTTGTGTGTGAAGGGATATCTTGCTGCAAGACGCCATATGGATGGCATAATCAATACAGTGCTATTGATGGTTGACAGTGGGCTACCTTGCTTCAGAAGAGGTGATCCAATTGGGAATCTTCGGAAGAGATTCCATCCTGAGATGAGCGAACGCGAAGCAGCTAATTTTATGATTCACACATGCAATGATGCCTATAACAAGTGGACAACTGCAGGCTACGATTTGATACAGTATTTGCAACAGGGTATTGAAAAGTAAAATCTGTATATTTGTATTATTGTTGTTGTTTTAGTCAATTCTTTTTCCTTCTTTATTATTCTGCTATCAAGGTGCTGAGAAAGACTTGTAACTGCGGCAACATGTCAAAGATTCTTTATCACCAAGTAGTGGGACTTCCTTGTGAGTTCTGTAAAAATGCATAGTTGTAGCGCCAATTTATCAATAGAAAAGAAAAAAAAAAATCTTGAGCAATATCCTTGTGGAAGTTTGGATTCTTTAGGGAATGTTTATGAAGGGATGCTAATATAGGAGCCAACGTAATTACCATATACTTTGTATTGCCTCAGGCTTTATATGTGACAATATACCCTTCTTTTGGTTGTTATCCCAGATTCCCGGTTGGTTTCCAATTTCCAGTAGAATCTTCTTTGCAAATATTTTTTATGAATTATGACTCATTGAAGACGTTAAGGATGTAAATTTACCTTTAGATTGAGTGATATATGATAACCATGACTAGTATAGAAGATCCGATTTCAAGTTGAACGATTGTGTAGGATTTTGGTTACTCGGCCAAATTGATTTCAAATTTCGTATAGAGAGGATCTCTTAGCTGGGACCTCAAATGGTTGGCTTGACGTTTGTTGTAACTACGGAATCCAAAGGATCATAATGCGCCACGTGTCAGATAGATTTAACTCAAGACTGACAGACGTGGGGAGCAGATAGATAAGTGGGCAGGTAGCAAGCATTTTATGACCGGCATAGCGGCGCCAGGGCGAGGTCTTCAAGCAAAGACAAAAGATAAGATGGCGGGAGATGGGGAGCAATCTCCGGAGTGGGTAGGACCTTAAGGAACTAGGCGTAATTAAAGAGCTAGGGCCTTACCTGGACGAAAGGCTGGAAGAAAAAGGGAACAAGGGAGAAACAAAGGAAAGGGAAAAAGGGAGACCCTTCAGTTGTCTCTCCAGAAGGGCAAACCTAACCCCGGTCCATCACCTAAGGAGGGCTCACCATCAACTCGTTGTAGATGAACCCGGTCATGCCATCTGTGGTGATTAGGTTCCAATCGAACTCTTGGATCTTGACACGTGACTCAATATCTATTCGAACCCTGACAAGCTTAAAAGGACACTCATCAACATGGCACCAACTTGTTGCCTTCCAAATATCGAAGTCTCCCGGGAGTACAGTACAGACTATGGGGTTTGCATTCCGGGCTTCCGGCTGTCAACGTTCAAGATATATCACATACAATATGAAATGGTTTTTGAACATTGAATACACTATTTACAGAGAGTGCAACTGAATCGAGCCAAGACGAACTTCGGCATGTCAACGGTCAACCATCAATAGTACTGTATCGACTAAAATGCATCTATATTGAGTTCAGGTTTGGCTCAATGGTTGGCTCAAAGGTCTCTATTTGAGTTCAAGTTTGACTGACGAATTAGTAACTGTTGTTCTTGTTTCTTTAGTGTCTTAATTGTTCCTATACCTATTATGCTTTTTAGATTATTTACAAGTGATATTCAAGAACTTTTGGTATCTTTAGCCGCAACTTATATAGGAGAATTCATGGAGGGTCATCATTGACCAGCTTTCAAAATAATCTATATAAATCTACAAAAATTACTAATTAATTGAGTAGGCTCGCAAGCTTTTAAAGCAATGTTTTATGTGTCAAATTTGAGTTTGAAAAACTAATTAAACTTACCTTAAGATTCAAACTCAATCAGCATTGAACTTGCATATAAAGCCTAATCCAATTCGAGCCCAAACTATTAAACCAAAGCTAGATTTGATTGCACCCCTAATTTGGAGATCTTTGGATTTAATCATTACAACTCCCTTGTCTTACCTAATCCTGATACATGGACCAGGAAAAAGGCTAAAAACAAAAGAGTACGGCATGTTAGAAGCATGCAGAACACAACTTTTGTGGTTCACGTGTATCCATATTTGAAGTTTGAACTGTGTCAAGCAGTTGAGCATCCCATATCTATTAAGGAAATTGATTAACAAGGGAAGGAAATGATTGATCATGGACAATGTTCAAATATCACATTGTATTGGTGTACATTGTGGATATATGTATCAACTTGTAGGGGTCATTGATATGTGCTTGTTGGGAAGTTTCAAAGATTAATAGATGTACAATATCTACTTTCAACTCGTTTAAAAAAAATTAAAATAATTATGAGTTGCAATGCTTCAAAACTCTTGATCATACATGGTTAGTGAACTAGACCATAACAAAAAATGGTTAAAATATTTGAGCAACCACTGTTTGCAAATTGACATATAATGCTGTTATTGCTCTCTAAAATACCCTTCCTGACTTGCTCCACCTGTGATCATCTCTAGTAAAGTTCAAGATATTGCAATTTATCAGTGTGTATTGAATAATGTGGCCAGTTTTTCAACCTGCCAAACTACTACTTACATGGATTTTGGGGTAATCTGTGTTCAAATACAAGAGTCCCTCTCCTTAAAATATAGGATAAATTTTTTAAACTATCCTTATGGTTTAGCTAATTAATTAAGTGTATCTTTACTATTTGAAAATTGACTAACGTTACCTTTATTGTTTCTGACAATTAGCAAACTCTACTCTTACTGCTAGCATCCCATTACATGTGATATAATGTGACTAATATATATCAAAAATTCCGAAAATACCCTTTCCACTTCCATTCCTAAAAATACCATATTTGCTCCTAAAATACCTTCCCTAAAACCTCTCAATAAATAGGCGGTAGAGACAATGGTCTGAGTGTGACTTTCGCCATAAACCAAGAGACGAATGGAGATTGACCAACTTGTTAATTTCCATCTGCAGGTAATGTTTTCTTTTTCACGAAAAATAAATTTTATTGAAAAAACTCATTAGTTGCTGTGGAGAGAGAGAACTGAATAGCCGAGACGAAAGATGATGAACAGATGACCCGCCGACCTTCAAGCCCTCCGCAGATGAACAGTTGATCCGAGAAGGAAGATGATGAACTAAAAGCGGTAGCATCATCTCAGGCATGAAAGAGCTCACTCTCACCTCCGATCCCTCCACAAATCCCTACCAAATCCAGCACCATGCGCCGGCACTTGTCTTCAGTGCCAGTGGCTACACCGAAGATTTCTTCCACGACTTCAGCGGTGGGTTGGTGTTTCCGCTTGTCATCAGTTTCTCCAATGGTTTTGACAGATCGACTACAACATACCAAGAGCAATAGCAGGCGCAACACACCGCACAACAAAGCCGGAGGGACAAACTAAGGGTGCACAAGGGTTCAAAGCGCCTCCACCTTTGGTGGGAATATAAGTAAAAGAATCTGGGGAGTTGTCAGGTTATGAAACGGGTGGGATGTTATTGAAGATGTTCAATTTCCAACCAGGTGTCCTCGTGGCTGCCAACTTCTTAGAGAATCAGATCGCGTCAAATTACCGGCTACCGCGACCACTGCCTACGGCGACAACACCAGCAGCAAATGATTGTGCGAGCACTAACCGTGACAGACATAGAGCATCATCAGATTTCAAGCCTAAATGCGGACTCGGCAGCTGCCATGCAGCTTTTCCTTATGAACCCATAAACAAGGTCACCTTCTCCACCTCCTCAACCACCTTCGTCATCATCTACCATCATCCATATGTTGCTTCCCAATCCATCCACTACTATTCATCTATAGGGATTTCAATCGACTGGAGCTGCAGCTGCAATCGGAGTGGGTTTGGGTAGTAGCTCAATTCATCTTGCACAATTCACTTGGATCCTAGGTGGCGGCCAAAGTGAAAACATGACTATTCATCTCAGCTAACATTTGTATTGAAAATAGTTAGAGAGCACCGATGATTCTTTTATTCTTTAAAAAGTGGAGTAATAATCTTTTTAAACTTTTTGTTAACAGAAAATTAAGGGATATTAACATAAAGAAAGTATTAACTAATTGTCAAAAACAGTAGGAATGGCACTAGTCAATTTTCAAATAGTAAGAATAGTTTAAAAAATTTAGCCTAAAAAATATATATTTTCTCTACGCAAAAAAGAAAGAAAAGAATAATGCCCAACAAAAGATTTATACATCCATTGGTAAGTAAACTGAGTAGTCGCATAAGAGGTGTCGATATAGGCTCCCGTCATTTTTTTAAGAAGAATTATTAGAATCTTGTTGAAAAAAGTATTGTGTTACGCCAAGAAAAAATGAAATACCGCCCTACGTGGGTATAAAGCATGGTTTTTAAAAAACGACTTGGAGACTGAATCGGTCAGGGGTCCGGTTACCGAGTCAAACAATTCGAATGGTCGGCCCGTTCTGTAAAAAAATAAAAAATAGTCAAAACGTTTAAACGGTTCAAACGGTTAACCATCCGGGTCAACAGTTTGCTGACCAAAATCAATGTTTTTGGGCAAATTTATGATTTTGGGGAAAATTAAAACTGATCACCTGACCAATTCCCGGTTTTTTCGGTCGGACCATCCGGTCCGATCCAGTTTCAAAAACCATGGTACAAAGACAAGGGGTTCAATACCAAGAAAAAAAAAAACAAAGGGTTCACACTGAACTGAATTTCCAAAACGCTTCAGAGTTCAGAACATAGATAAAGGTTGAAGATTATTATTTTGACCGGGTGATCAATTATTCCATTTCCATCGACCATCAGCGGCCAAATATACGAAACAATGAAATAATGTCTGCAGACTCCAATTCGTTAACTGCCATATCGCCAAGTGAGCCAACTTCCAGCTTTGGCGCGGGACCGCGAGTTACTAAACACAAAAAAAAAGTCCTTATCCTACGTGGCCACGCGCTACGGACAGAGAAAACATATATTGCAAAGAAGAGCTGCGATCGGCAACAAACAAGCCGAGTACAATGGGCTACAAAACCCAATCAACTCTCAACACGTACACTTATTAGCTCACTGACGTGATGTATCACGTACGTAGTCACTCCCCTGTATCAGGTATTCAGCTCCAGGTTTTTTTTTTCTTTTTTTTGGGTATATAAGGAGAAAAACCAAAAGGGGGGAAAAATGGAAAAAGACAAGCGACGCGGATCGGGAGAAGAGAAAACAGAAAGGACATAAAAGGGAGCAAAATTAAAATGAAATCAATGAGGGGGGTTTGAACTTTGAACTTTGAATCCTTCTTTCGCCGTTCGCCGTTCTCCTTCCTTTTCCTTGGCTATTCTTTGCACGACCAACTCATACATAGACAAGGGAACGGCGAGAAGTGTAGCTTGCTGCGTTAACCGATCGAATTCTGTTTCTGATTTAGCACCTGTCATTGTTCATTCTGGTTTACTTTACGGAATTCCTCTTCGATCTGTGATTCGATTGATATTCTACAATGAACGGATGGGATAGGGTTAGGCCATCGAGGTCAAGGCTCGGTGGGTCAAGAGCTACTTCCATGAGCTCGTTTGGGAGTGAACGCCACTCTTCCTCGCAAACCATTCATCTAGGTCGAGTCCAGCCCCAGGCTCCAGGTCATCGCACGATCTACTGTAATGATCGAGAGGCCAATCTTCCCGTTAAGTTCAAGGTTGGTTTAGATACATCTCCGATCCCCATGTTTGTTCGTTTCTGTTTCTTCTCCTTCACTTCCATGCTTTGGCGATTTGGTTATGGTAGCGGATTTTCGTATTACTATAGTTTTTTCTGTTTTTTTTTCTTTTCTTTGACGATATTAATATTTGTTTTCTTAAGATCGTTTTATGAATTATTTCATGTGTAGCGGATTTTCGTATTACTATAGTTTTTTTTTTGACGATATTAATCTTTGTTTTCTTAAGATCATCTTATGAATTATTTCTTCTGATTGAAAATGGATTGTGATGTACAATTGCAACATAATTGGATTACTTTTATCATTATCTCTCTATAGTTTGAAGGTTTCAATAACTCCAGTTTAAATGTTGGAGGAGTTTTATGACATTGCGAAGATATTTGAACAGAACAGAAGAGTATTAATTATTGATAAAAAATAAAAAAAAGAACAGAAGAGCATTTTTTGTAACTAATATTTAGTATACTATTTGCAAAACAATTTAGATAACTAGCCTCTCAAGAGTAACTTTGCACAAAATGTCTCCGAGTGGAAGTGAGCTTGTGTCTTTGGTACCGTACTGTCTCTGTCTCTGTCTCACACACACACACACGCACACACAGAGTATCAAGCACAAACACATACAGTGCCTAAGCAATTGCTAGAACTGAACATCACTCTAAAACTCTCATTTATGGTCTCTGCACCAAGACTATGAATTGTCTAGGCAATGCTTTTTGATACCAAAGATATGGTTTGTTTTAGCCTGTTACCTATTATTTTGTGAACGAACTTGTTTCCCTTGGTGTAGCAACTAGTAATCATTAAAACAGAACTAACATAAAAGCATTGACCATTAAAGTGTAATTAAAGAAACATTATGTAACCTAAACCTAGGGGATGGATCTCTGTCCTGTTAATGCAAAAGGAGATAAAGAGAGTGTGTAAATAAAAAGAAAAAAGAAGAGAAAACAAACATATGAAGGGACAGAGCCGATAGAGATATAGAGGAGAGAATGTGTAAGTGTGTTACTTGTAGTGAGAATAAGAGAAATGAACATTATGATGGGATGGGGTCCTTGTTTTTTTTTTTTTTTTTTGAATTTGAACAATATTAGGTATTCTATTGCACTATCCAGAAAACATAGATACAAGAAAATCCCATATAGACACTATACAACAGGGGCATCAAAGATAATCTATGTCTAAGGGCCTGTTCATTTCCTCTTAACTCTTATCTCTTAAGAGGAATCTTTTAACTTTAAGAGAAAAATGGTTGTTCATTTCCTCTTATCTCTTATCTCTTAAAGTGCAATCATACAACTTTTTTGCTTTTCAATGATACCCCCAAAAAAGACAAACAAAAACTCTCATATATGGGGTCAAAATAGATATTTGTTAATTTTCAGAATTCAGAACTCAGAATTCAGGATTCAGAACAACATTTTCCGCATTCAGAGTTCAGAGGAAAGAAAAGTTCACCAATACCAATATACCTCTTAATGTAATTTTTGCACTTTCAGATGTCAGACTTCAGAGCAAGCGAACAGGCCCTAAGTGTACATACGGATGTGGGGAAACTTTGAATTACACAGCCAGGTCATGACCATATATTTCTCCTGCACCCATCTGGCATGGGACAGAACAAATCAGAGGACTTTGGTTTCTTTGTGTCCCTTGTGATATACCCCAACTTTCCTCAATAACCATGAGTACAGATTGAGCCCATTCAAGATAACTCACTCCATCCAACTTCATAGTAGTGATTTGGTTTTTTGGTATCTCTCCCATTCCTCGCAGATCCATTCCAAACTCTCCCCTGACTTTTGATCACTTCTAGATGCTTCCATTGTTTTCAAATGAATCAAAACAGTGTAAACAACCAATCAAATGATCTTAGAGAGGCAATAAACCACCAAACACAGTAATCAGGCTCCTTCCAAGACCCTCCAACAGAAAACAGGGTTCTAGGAGAAATTGGACCCCCTAGATCAATATCACCCGAATCTGTATTGCTTCTAGGTGCAATTGATCTCCTCTGGGAATAGACATAAGTCAAGCAAAAACAAAAAACTTCACTTGAGACAAGCATAGAATCACTCCTAGTGTTAGGTCCCTTTCACTTCTGGGTTCAGGAGAAACTGGACTACTGGAGAACAGCTAATCAGTTTCTCCAGTCAATCCAGAAACCTCTCCAGATGCAATCACCCACATAAAAAAAAAATCTAAGAGACCAGAAAAACTCCAGCCACCACTTTCAGCGGGTGTCATCCAATCCCTTCATAAAGAAATTGCTTTTTTCTCTCTCTCCAATCCTTCCTGTTTTTGGACTCTTCTCCAAGAACTCTTCCTGGGCAGCAGAAACTACCAAAAAAATCCAAGGATCAGGCTCTAGGGGATAAAACAATCAGCCTTTCACCCTTCCATGCAGTCAGCTGATCTCAAGACTGCATGGAGTAAAACCACATGATGAAAAAAACCGTTTTCATACTAATACTCAGTTTGGAAGGAGTACAAATACAAATATGTAGAGTGCAAAACCTTGTATTTTCTATTATTTTGTATGAATTTGTACTGTACATATTTGTATTTGTACTCCTTCCAAACTGAGCCTAAGTAGGAAATCTGTTATAAGGCAAAAACAACAAAGGAAAAGAGAAAGACGAGGAAGTAAGAAGACAATACAGAAGAAAGAGAGTATAAGGGTTGAAGGAAGAAAGGGGTACCAAAAGATTAGTGGCTGCCCCTTCAATTTATTATTTATACTTTGTCAATAAAATGTATACAGCGACAAAAATGCCCCTAGTAAGGTTGCATCTGCTTGAAGCACTAATAAAACTAATTAAAACATTATGGGCCAAGGTCCAATAACAATAACAACATTATAAATAAAGTCTCATACAACTATCACCATGGTGGCAGGTAATTGTAGGAAAATATGGCATAAAAGGTAGGAGGTGGGACAACATCTGGGTGGCTAACCAATCTTGGAAGAATCTCTTTCCCTCTCTTCATTCAATTTCTTTGTATAGGAAAGATGTTTCTAAATTCCTTTCGTCCTTTCTTCTTTCTTTGTTTTTGAATTGGGATATTGGTTTTCGGAGGGGGGTAATGTGGCTACTTGTGTTTCTGGGCTTACTTCTTCTTGTCAATGTTTGTTTGGAGTTTGGACCCTTCTAAGCCTGACAGAAGGATTTGGTCACCAGCCACAAAAAGCTCCTTTTCTTATGCCTCTGTTTTTAAGTCCCCCTATTCTTATTCTGTTCCTAGGGTTTTCCAAGTCAAGGAAGTTTCGTTTAGGCCTGTACCACCGAAAATTGCTTTGTTTTGTTGGGAAGTGTTTTATGGGAAGATTAGCGCTTGGACAACCTGCAAAAGAAACGACCTTTCTTGTGTTTGACCCCTAATTGGTATACTTTATGCAAAGCTAATGGTGAGAATTGCTTTCACTTGTTAATATACTGTCTTTTTGCTATGGTTATTTGGAATTGGATCTTTGCTTTGTATGGGTGCAGATGGAACCTGCCAACAGAAGTAAGCCTTCATTTTTGATCCAGCTATCTTTGTGTGGCCCACAAAAGAGGGAGAATCATGTGGAAGAGTAATAGATCACTTCGCTCACTTGCCTCAGCTTCAACAAGATCCCCCTTTCAACTAGTGCTATGCATTTTCATTCTTCTTAATATAAAAGATTTTTATTAAAAATAAAGAAAAATGAGATCCTCCTTCCTCTTTTTCCTCCTCCCCTTCCTCCTTCCTCCTTCTCATCCCCCTCCTCTTAAGGAGGCTTATGCCTCTTATGTTTTAAACTACACCTCATGCCTCTAGGTAGTGGAACGCCTCAGTCAGGCCTCCAGTTTTAAAAATTGAGTTGAACTTTGATGGACGCAGTCAAGGATCCAGGGCTGTCAGGTGTGGGTGGGGTTTTGAGAAACGAGGAGGGAAATATTTTATCTTTTTTTTCTCAAGCCCAGTGGGAATAGGGGATTCTAGTAGAGCTGGATTGCTAGCTGCTGTACAAGGAATTCAGATCACAAATAAACTTGGTGTGAATAATCTAATTTTTGAGGGAGATTCTAAGGTGGTAGTAGGATGGTTGCTGGATCTGGACTCTGCTACATGGCACTATGGTAGGGACCTTCTAATGAAAGTTAAGTGGCTAGCAAGGCATATGACAACCAGAATACAATGGGTGAGTAGGTCGGCTAATGCATTGGTAGATGTCTTAGTAAACAAGGGGCTTCTAGGGACTTTCTTTGTTGGGCTGAGTTGTAATCTTCTAGTTTTGAGTTGTATTGACTCAAGGGTGTGGCTGCATCTCGCACCCCTTTGGGAAGCTTGTAACAGTTTCAATCCTTTGATAGTAAAATTTCACATTTATCAGAGAAAAAGTGTAGGAGGTGGGACTTGGGTTCAGCTTCAGTTCCTATAGGTTGTGCAGTTTGGAATGGAACAGAGAAAGCATATGTTGACTTTCAAAAAGGAATTCGATATTAAATTGGGAAAGGGAACAGAGTCAAATTTTGGACTGATAAGTGGTGTGGAAATACAACTTTGGATGAGGTCCTGAATTGTATGAGATCTCTCAAGATAAGGAAGTGTGGGTGCTGAAAAGCTATGAGCAACAAGAAAATGGGGTGGTATGGTGTCCCCAGTTCAGAAAAAACCTTAATGATTGGGAGATTGAACCAATCAAACCTCTGTGACAGGATAAGACAAGAAAAGACAGACCAGCAGAGGGAGGATGCAAGAATTTGGGCATGGGAAAAGCAGGTAAGTATCTAAGTTCAGTCCTACAATAAGATTAGTTTGCTTGAGGAAACTATGCTCCCAAGTTCTGTGTATGGTCCAAATACATACCTTCAAAAGGGGCTTTCTTTGCATGGACAGCTGCTAAAGGGAATGTTTGACAGCAGACATCCTTATTAGAAGAGGACTGGTTCTGAATAGTCATTGCCCTGAATAGTCAATATACGCACAAGCTTCAAAATATTGAAACCTTTGGGCACTTTCTTGCCTAGGCGTTGCCTTGACAACTCTTGATAGCAGAATGGAGTAGCAAAACAGGATTTACGTAGTCAACCCCATGTAGGTGAGACAAGTCTATGATGATGATGATGATGTTACCTTATATAGGAACCTATGGGTGCCTCCCCGCCACATATATATTGCCTAGATAACCAAAGAGATAACTTGGTCTACTTGTAGAAGGTAGTCATGCCTCTATTAACTTGTTCTTCTGATAATTGTTATCTCTACTTGTAGGACATTATGTTTTAGGCTTTGTTTTTATATACCTTATCCTTTTTGGCATTCTATTTTATTGCAACGACATTTGTAACCTTGTATCATGTTTTCCAGGGGAATTCTATATCGACCACAAAATACAACATTTTTACCTTTTTGCCGAAGGGATTGTTTGAACAGGTAACTAAGTACTAATCTATGGGTCACATTCAGAATATAATCGAAATAAACTATTTTAGGTTTACTCATTTTATATGCCTTAATGTTATTTTGAACTTGTTTATCATTTGCTACATTGTTTCTAAAATGTTTTCTCTATGTTATGTTGACAGTTCAGGCGTGTAGCTAATTTATACTTTCTTATGATCTCTATCTTATCTGCAACACCAATCAGGTACTCTTATGTCTAACTAATGATCATATGGATTGTTTTTGATGAATAACAGTGCTGAATTTTGTTTTATTTTTTTGATAATTGAACAGTGCTGAATTTTATTAATCACTATAAGAATGAGTAAAATAAAGAAAAGAACTCAGAAAAGGGGCTAGCCTTGGCTAACCACCATACATGAATACATTAGCCCCTAGCCAAATTGGCCCCAATACAATTGATCTCTTGACACTCCCTGCTTTGCTAGTTCATCTGCCAAATCATTGGCAGCTCTTGGAACCCAAATCATTGTTGCTTGTAATTCCTCTATTTTGTAGCTCCCTGAAATATATCTATAATTCCAGGATACCTTCTGATGTTTCTTTAGCCACCTAATGACTGTTTTTGAATTCCCTTCTATTTCAATCTTTTTCACGCTCCTAGTTTTTTTCCCCTCTTAAACCTGTGAGTGGTGCCCAAGTTTCTACCCAAATTGAGTTTCCTGTTCCTAGAGGTCCAGAACTCTATGATGTTTCCATTTTTATCCCGGAAAACTCTACCTATACCTGAAGGTCTAGGATTACCCAAGCTGCATCCATCAAAATTCAACTTTAACCAGCCCAAAGATGGAGCCCAACTCACTATGGACTTAACCTTCCATTGATAAGAGATTGCCCCTTGCAACCAATTCCTAAGGATGTCATACATTTAGGAATCAAAAGAATAAGTCCATGGTCTTCACCCAACACACCACTTTTATTGAGATGTTGTCAATGATTTCTTCTATGCCTCTTTCTTTGTCCAAGAATGACTGGGCATTCCTTTCCTCCCAAATGCACCAGAGAATAGACACCATAGTGCATCTCCATAGCACCTTCCCTCTTCTCTTTGAAGGGGAGAAAAACGAATTGAGAAATAGGCTGTTCAAATCTGCAGGCAGAACCCACCTGAACCCAAAAAGGGAGAAAAAGTGGCTCCAGGTAGCGGCCATAAAACTACAGGAGATCAATAGATGGAGAGAGATTTCCTCTTGTGCTCTACACAAAAGGCAAATGTGAAGAAAAAACAGCCATCAAGCTTTTTGTAAATTCTCACAAGTATTAATCTTATCAGTATATACCTCCCAACAAAAAGCTCTGCTCTTGGGTGGAACTGGACCTTCCCAATGGTTATAAGGATTGTTGTTTGGAGTATATTTTGTTTTAGACAGATAGCATGCTATATTCTTTTGACCAGCTCCATGTAACAAGGATTAAAATCATTACCGGTTGCTATTCTACTATGCATTGCCAGTATAGTTCTCTTGGTTGTACATACTCTTTGTGTATCTTGGATCTTAGTCACATACTCACATCCGCTTCACTGTAATTCCAAGTTTTTTTTGGTTTGGTTTATATGCACATAATTTTTTTTGAAAGTAAAATAAAAATCTATTAAAAGAAAAAAGAAGATTACAATGAAGGCGACTGGCAGTCACCCAAGAGAAGAAAAAAACAAACCACCACCCACTCACAACACAACATTACAATCATCCCAAGTAGAGGGAGGCACGACTTGCAGCCTCACCTTGTTAAAATAGTTCAGGAAACAGTTACAAATTAGCCGAATAAAAATGGTACCTATATTACCCCTTGTTTAGCCAATGAATCAGCCATTGCATTGGCCCCTCTCCCTACCCATTGTATAATCAAATTCATATTTCTTGTGAGCCAATTGAATTTCTTTATTTCATCCCTATAGCACCACAATATAGTTTCCAGTTTCTTCAGCCACACCACTACCACCTTTGAGTCCCCTTCGATCACCAACTTTTCCAATTTCAAATCATATGCAATCTGAGCTCCTTTTAGTCCAGCATAAAGTTCTGCCTTCAAAGAAACCCCATACCCACCTGTCCTGAGTACAGTTCCATTGCATTCCCTTCCTTATCTTTTATGACCCCTCCAATTCCAGAAGGGCCTGGATTTCCATGTTTTATGCACTGAATTGGAAGCCACTTTAGGCCAATTCGTCCAAATATGATCAAGGGAGAAATGGAAAAATAAGTCTGAAGTTTGTAGCCAATGCATAACCCTAGCTAGATTCCAGAATGCAGTCTTTGATTTGTTGCCTGCTTCTCTCCTCTAGGAAGATTCTGGAGTTTCTTTCTTCCCACACCATCCAAAGCACTGCTGCCCTAGTGCATCTCCACATTATCCTTCCCTTTCTCTTTGGCCAGATAAAGGTCAATGGATCAAACTGACAAGAAAGACTACAATAAGTTTAAACCTCCAAACCAACAAGAAAGGCTACAACCTTCCACCCAAAGCCAAACATGGGCCTTGAAGATCAGGAAAGGAAATGGGAAGTTTCACGCAGGCGGGGAAGTGGCGAGTGGAGCTGGCTATAGAGTCAAAGAAATTCCTATTCGAGCAGGGACGGACAAAGGGCAAGTCGTACTTGAAGATCAGGGAAGGAAATAGGGCAACGATTATTCTACCAGAGGAAGCTTGCAGTTGGCTGAAAGGTTTTG